GGCGCCCGCCGCTGCCATGTGTCCTGCGGGCGCCTTTCTGGTTTCCCCCCGGGATGTGCTGGCCGTGCAGGGGACGGGGAAGGGGGGACTGCTGTTCTCCTCACTCTCCCTTGCCACGCTGGGTCTGTGCATAGCGTTGTAAAGTGATTCGGAAAGCAGTGTTTGTTAATAATATTGTAATTTTTTTTATATATATATATATATATATATATAAGGTTGCAGGGAAGAAAGTTCCTTCACTTTATTTAATATTTTGTAAGAATATGAATTTTAAGAGGTGCCTCGCCTGATTAAAGGCTTTGGCTCGTTTTCAAACACGCCGTGCTTTGGTCTCTGCTGTCCCAAATCGGCACCCAGCACCTCCCAGCCGGCTGGGCGGACCAAACCCCGCTGGTGACGCGCTTGCAACAAGCCATGAGCGATGTGCCCAGCCCCTCCATCCCGTCATCGGAGGGCTGGATTCAGCGTCCGACCCGCCGTTGGTTCCCCGGGGGTGCGGGGAGCCCCGTGGGTCACCCGTCGGTAAAGGAGCGCATCCCAGCGCCCGTGAGGGGTACGTCCCGAGCCCCCCGGGGTGACAGCCCGGGAGGACAGTGCTGGTGGAGGTGGCTGTGCATCAGAGACGGGGCAGGAGAGCCGTGGGGTGCAGAGGGGCTGACGCCGGTCCCCCGGTGCTCTTCTGCTCGCTGCTGGGGTGATGCACCCTGGGCTGATTCAGCGGGGACCCCCGAGACACCCTACCCCTAGTGAGCCCCCATCAGAAGCACGAAATCTGCCTGATCCCGAGAGCCAAACACCCCAAGGCACGTTTTTCAGACCAAATCACTCGAGCCCGGCAGGGGAACAGCACTGCCACCACCCGCTCCCTGCAAAATAGGACATTTTGAGGAGCATCCGTGGTGTTTGGGGGCTGGTGCTTGGGGAACAACCTGCCTGGAGAAACAGGCACGCGCGCTCCGTCCTCTGCCAAGGGCTTAATGAGGAGCGGAGGGAAGCTGGGACCCCTCCAGCAGGGAGGGAGCTTCACCTGGGGGAGCGCAAATTAGTTTGTGTGTTAACTGGGAGCAGCTGGAATGGAACCACCCCCCACCCCACCCCCCGGGAAATGAGATAAAAGTGCAGGGCTGGGCTGGGGGCTTGGTGCTCTCTTCTCCCTGGGTGCTGCCAGGTAAGGGGTGCTGGTGGGGTGAAGTCTTGCTCTCCCCGGTGAGGCTATCTGAGACAAGGTGGATGCTTTGGGCAGGGAATGTCTGAGCCCGAGGCTGGCTGCAGCCCTGCTCTGCACCGGGAGCCTCCCCAGCTCCTCCTGGGAGGTGCTGAGGCTTGGCACGAGCTTTCCTGAGCTGGCGAAGCTGCTTGATGCTGCTGGAGACCGGGGAGATGTTTTGAGAAGGGGCCTCCTGTCCCTGGCTCTGGTGTGTGGGATGCTCTGGGGATGGGCCAGCCACTGTCACTGGGGTGGGCTTGGGGAGGGGGGGAGCTCGAAGAGACCTGGCTTAAAGTTCCTGCTGTACCTCTCTGCAGCTGGGCTCTCCCCATGGCCTCTCCCAAGCAGAGCCGAGGGGTAGGACCACCGGACCCCACGGACATCGCTGCCCTACAGCTGAAAATGATGTTCTATGGCGAGAAGGAAGGGGCTGTGACCACGGCCCCTGCTGTCGGCGTGGCTGCCGCTGCCAGCAGGCTGTGGTGCAAAGCCTTCCTGGTGCTGGCCATCTGCCTGTCTGCCACTGCTCTCCCGTACAGCCTGGGGTCTCTGGCTGCTCCACCCCGGGCCCCCCTGGGCTCCCTGCCTCCTTCCCACGCTCGGCCGGGCTTGCCAGCCTCCCAGAGAGGGACAAGTGATGATCTGGTGGCAACACGTGGGGACCTGCTCAACTACCCAGCGATGCAGCAGCGTGGGAGGGCGCTGACGGGCTCTGTGGGCACCCCAGGCTGCTTCCTGGGGGTTGAAGGAGACATGACCCATGGGACAGATGCTGAGGGCTGGAGCCTGGGGACACCGACCACAGCCACTGCCTCTCCCTCGACAGCTCAGACCTTACCACAGTGGCACTCTGGATCCAGGCATGGGGAAGGGCTCAGGTTGGGCACAGCAGCGGCTGTGACGCTGACCCCTGCACCGTGGCTTGACACAGGGGTGCCTGCTACCTCGGCTCGGCTCCTCCAGACCACCCGTGGCCCCAGCCTTGGCTCCTGGCACCGCTTTGCTCTGGGAAACCTCCACGGCACAGGACCAGGCTCGCATGATCCAGCGTGGGTGCCTGCAGTGACCTCAGCCCATGGCCTCGGGCAGCCAGCGGGCACGGCAGAGCCCCAGAGCCCAGGGGGGAGGTCTGAGGGCACCCCTCGTGCTGAGGGTGAGCCAGCTGCTTGGGTCCCTGCTGCCTCCCCGGCACGGCGGCAGGCTCCCTCCCTGCCCACGGCTGTCTCTGGCCCCTCTGCAGCGGCTGCCTTGCTGGAGGTGGTGCCCACCCAGCTGGTCTCACCTGAAGGGGCTGCTGGGGGGGCTCGTGTCCCATCTGATGCCCCAGCACATGCAGGGTCAGCATGGACATTGATGGGTACTCCCTCACAGAGCCACAGCACAGCGGACCAGCCCAGAGGTGACCAGATGCCGGCCCTTGGGGCATCCCCTGACCATCGGACCATGCCCCACAGAGCAGACCTCAGCTTGGCTGCGAGCTCTAAGCCTCCTGCTGTGGTCACAGCCAGCGATTCGCCTTCTTGGGCCAGAGTTGTGACAGCAGCACAGGCTCCCAGCAGCGTGCCTGCGTCTGATCAATCTACAGCCAGTGGCTTCTCTGATGTCCAGCATGGAGCTTCAGTTGCTGGAGCTACAACAAGGAGCCGCAATGGGCAGAAGGAAGAAGTGAGACTAAGCCCCGGCCTGCCTGACCTTGGTACGGGCAAGGACCACGCCGCTGCTCCTCACCTGGTGCCCCTTCCAGGGGTGACTTCGGCTCTGCCAACAGAAAGGACATCCAGCTCAACCGAAATGCATCCTGGCACTGTGTGGGTGCCCTCTGCCGTGACACCTGAGATGCTCTGGGACACACAGCCTATTGGCACCTTCCTGCATGGAGAAGCTGCTCTACTGGTGGATGCCGTCTTGGCCAAGGTCCCAGGAAATGGATCTGGACTTCTGGCCACCGTCTTGGCATCACTTCCCAGTGCTGCGTTGGCTCGTGATGTCAACCACCCGCAAGTGCTGGCTCCCTTCCTTCCTACAGCGGAGTCTGGGGGACCTGCTGTCACCTCAGGGAAA